ACGTGGGTACTAGCCTTCCATCAGATCTCCTGGACGTGGGTACTAGTGTACCATCAGATCACCTGGACATGGGTACCATATAGATCCCTGCCAAGTTCTTGGCCCACACATTTGCACGCCATTTTTGTGAAGACTGACTCCTGTTGGAATCTCCCATGTCACCCTAAACTCAATAGAGAGCTTATCACCTTCCTAAACTTACTGCTTTCCTAAAATTTCCAAAACTACTGTATAATTTCATTCAAATGTTTTATTGGTGATGTTTACATAGAAATTATGGATTTTTAAAAAGAGTGCGACTATGTTAACCTAATCAAAGTCTTCCAATAAAAGGCAACGGGGAACTAACCAGAGGTTTCCTGTTTGGTGTGTGTGTTGTACTCTATTTGAAGGACTTATATGCCCAAGTGCTAACTGGGTGGAGGGTGAAGGTCCAAAAATACAGACTGTGCAACTACAGAAATAAGAGTTTAAGTTAACAGTTCAGCTAAGCATTTTATATTGCCTTAAATCTACCAAACTGACTACAACATGTGGCCATGCTTAGAGAACCACAGATCTGATCATAGTGAAGGCTACAGAACAGCTCAGCTTTTTATGCAGAAATTCTCCAAGCTTATTACGTGCACGGGGTCTGAAGAATTCGATATTCCTTGGTAGTCACACCAGATCCTACTCCACTTCCCACTTACACAGTCTTATTTATTTTGAATATCGCTTCAACTTCTTCAGCCTATGATGCAAAAGCATCACAATTTTTTTTCCAGATAATTTCAAAGGATAATAATGAAAGACGATCTTGCACATTTTTGCATACTGAATATAAATCTCACTCAACGAATGGTTTTCACTCGGTAAAACAATAAAATACTTCAACTGTCTGAATAGACAATAAACTAGAAAATAAACAGATACTTTCTATCTTTAAAGCTCAGAAGAAAATAGTTACGTTATACAAGTTTGGATTTATAGATAGACCAGACACAATTTATATGCTGGCTGAATAGAAGTAAGAAATACAGTCAGAAATATTAAAAAGTAAATGTAAAAGTATTAAACAATAATTACTTTAGTTCTTTTCATCTGTATGTTGATAGGATGAACAACTAAAATTCATAAGTCAGGTAGAATAAATAGTATTCAGAATACTTAAATGTTGTCATTACATAATAGTTAACGTGATTAGTCCCAGCCATGTCTACTGTCTGAGAGCACAGTGAATCTGCTCAGCCGTTTCCAGTTAGTCTAGCAGTTTATGCCGCCACTGTTTTCATTATTATGAAAAACATAAAAGTATCATTTTAAATATGAACTTAGAATTGTTGTATTTTTAGTTAGAATTCAGATGCAATTATCAGGAGGATGTCATGTTCACCCTGAAGATAAACATAAAATTGGGGAAAATAAGTAAACCCACAGAAATAATCTCAGAAAGTAAGTGATTCTTCAACAAATAGGGTAATTAACTGAAATGAAAAGATTCTATTTCCTTTGTGATTTGAATTTGATGTGTAGACAAGTCCACACACTTGGAAACGTTATAGCCAGTGTATTTAAACTATGTGGTTTCTTTTTAAAAAACAGTTTTACATTTATTTATTTACCTATCTACTATCTATCTATCTATCTATCTATCTATCTATCTATCTATCTATCTATCATCTACTGTGTGTGTGTACTGGTGTGATGAGATGAATGAACACGGACACACACACATGCCATGGTGTCTGTGGAGGTCAGAGGAAAACTTGTGGGAGTCAGTTCTTGTTGTAAGGAGGACGCTTGTTGGTTCCCAGCTGCTCAGCCCCGAAATAAATCACACAGAAACTGTACTAATTGAATCACTGTTTGGCCCATTAGCTCTAGTTTCTTATTGGCTAACTTTTTGTTTCGTTTTGTTTTGTTTTTTGAGACAGGGTTTCTCTGTAGCTTTAAAGTCTGTCCTGGAATTAGCTCTTATAGACCAGGTTGGCCTCGAACTTAGAGAGATCCACCTGCCTCTGCCTCCCGAGTGTTGGAATTAAAGGCATGCGCCATCACCTCCCGGCTCTTATTGGCTAACTCTTACATCTTAATTTAACACATTTCTATTAATCTGTGTATTGCCACATGGCTGAGGCTTACCTGCTAAAGTTTTGGCATCTGTCTCCAGTGGCTTTTCTCTGACTCTGCCTCCTTTCTGCCAGCATTCCGTTTAGTTTTCCCCTACTAGCTCTGTTCCCCTATAGCTCTGCTACAGGCCCAAAGCTGTTTTTTTTTTTTTAATTAGCCCATGATATTCACAGCATACAGAGGGGAATCCTTCCACCATGTGGGCTCCAGAGACCAAACTCATGTCTTCAGGTTGACAGCAAGCACCTCCCCCTGGCTCCTGCCACCCCATGAGCCACCCTGTTGGCCCACACTGCATTTTCACATATGCACGAATGTGAAAGCAAGTATGTCATAGCACGCTGTACCCAGACATTTTGAGGCTGGCTAATAAATCCCACCACTGAGCACACGAGTGAGTGTTCCTGGCGCTTGCCCCACCTCGCCCAGAACTCCACTAGAAAAACAATGTTTGGCAGGCTGAAGAGGTGAGCAGAGAGCTGTGTTGTTTGACCTTGGTTCTCATTTTCAAACAGGTTATATTTCAAAATAGAAGATGGGGTTGGAAAAGTAAATACAGCTGTGTTTTCTCCACCCCTGCGTGAGAATGGAGGCGCCATTCAGAATGGAAGGAGGCCGAGTCGCTCCTTCAGCGCAGTCGGAACCCAGAGGAGTGTGCTACTGTTTCGCGCCATAGAGAACACAGGTCAGCATTGCGTTCTCACTGGAACATCTCCCTGCCTTTGATCACAGTCTCCACCACTTCCCACTGCCGGAGCTTCATTATCCCACACCAACTGCACTCTTGAAACAAACCACTCTATGAATCTGTTTATCCCAGGAGTCTAAATGGCATTAGAAGGTAATTGTCCTGTTGTGAATGGCTTATTATGTTCAGTAAAGTATCTTCAGGATCCATTCACACATGTTGTAAGTTGTATCAGCGCCTTTTCAAGGTTGACAATGGCCCACACGATGTACATGGCACACTTTGTTCACCATCCAGCTCTTGGTGGAAGTTTGGATGTTTACAATCTTTGGGATTTTATAGAACAATATTTTTAGGTAAGAGTATAATCAACTAGGAGGAATCTGGGAAATAATTCCAGCAGGGATATCTGGAACTGATGGTGAAGGAAGCCTGAGTGTGTAGGACTGGCCGGTCATGGAACAAGAACTTCAGATGCAGGCATGTCCCTGCTTACATTAAAGTTATTGTATACTTTTCTAAAACATACTTTGCTTGACTTAAAAATCATAACTAAAGTTTCTGAAACTTAATATTTTGAGAATTAAAATCTAAGCCTAACTGAAACCATTTCAATCGTGCTTGAGGCAGTTCACAATCCCTATCCTTTCTGGTCACAATGGCACTTTGTGCTGGATTCTTCTGTGTATTGTTAAAAGGTACAAGATGTGACTACCTGAGGAAAATCCACCCAATAAAAACAACTGTGTCAATGATGCTAACAATGAAATGAAAATGGTCCAAACAGGTCCCACAATATGAGAAAAAGTTTAAAGGTCACAGTTTTGTATCCTTCAAAAATCACAATGCTTTACCAGAAGGTAAAGTGTAGGTGACTTGGAACTTCTCAAAGAAAAATATGCTTTTATCATGAGAATATCTTATCATGAGAAAATGCTTCCAGATTAGTAACAGTAAATTCAAGTGTATAAATTCCTCCTGGTTTTCTTTCCACAGGACTCCCACTGTTTCAGGGAGAGGGAATAGAATTATCGAGAGCCACAACATTATTTGTGGATTTCCAGTTGAAAAGCACTACCTGGAGAGGCTGCTGCGAAGCCACAGGGCTTTAGCAACGCTCCCTCCCAATGTTCTTGCTTTCCACTCAGTTCTCTGAAACATGAGCTAGTTGAACCAGATGAACCAGCAGCAAAGCCACAATCTTAAGGGCATTAGAATCTGAACTCTTCCTGAGAGGATCCCCAAGGAAACAACTTTTAATCAATGCAACTGGGAGCTGAAGACACAAAGGCTGAGGAGTGCATCTAGAAAACAGAGCTTCAAAGTTATGAAAAGAATCTCTATAATGGAAGAATGCCCAGCTTTAAAGTGTTCTTAAATATGTAAGAAACAAACACTTGACTAAAGAGAAAAGATGGTAGGCATTTGCCATCTTTTCAGAAGTTGTGGCTTAAAAAACACCTCCATAGGATTTAAAGAATTTAAAATGTATTTTCTCAGAGTAAGAAGTACACAAAAGAGATTATATATATTTGTAATAAATAGATACAGAAAATTTAATTACAGTATATGATGATAATAAGAACAAACATAATGAATATATTAGAACGATCATGGATGTTATTGTTTGAAAATAGCAAATTCAGTTTGACGGAGTTGAAATTCGGTGCCAAATCTGAAAGGATTTCAGGAGTTCTTTCTGCATTGCTGACCCTGTATGCTGGGAGCTGGGATCTCCATCAGAAATGTTCCAGGGAATCTAGAGAGTTGTATTAAGACTTTATTTTTTTACCCAGTGGAAAGAGGATAAAGTAGAATTTAGAGAAGCAACAACAACAACAAAAAAGATGCACATACATGGAAGTGCCCATATTGTTTTTCCAGAGGACCCAAATTCACCACATGCCAGTGGCTCACAATATCACAGGTCTCAGTGGGTGCTGGGCTCATATACACATATCTAAATATACAACACATATCTAAAAGTAATAAAAAGTAAAAGCTGGAAAAAAAAGAAAGGGAGGGAGAGAGGGAGGAAGAAAGGAAGAGAGGAAGGGTGGGAGAGAGGGGGAGGGAGAAGGTAGGGAAGGAAGGGAAGGAAGGGAGGAAGGGAAGGTGGGGGGAGGAAGGGAGGGAGGGAGGAAGGAAGGGAGGAAAGGAAGGAAGGGAAAGGGGAGGAGAAAGGGAGGGAGGTAGAAAGGAAGGAGGGATGAGGGAAAGAGGTAGGGAGGGAGGGAGGGAGGGAGGGAGGGAGGAAGGGAGGGAGGAAGGGAGGGAGGGAGGAAGAGAGGGTGGGAAGGAGGGAGGGAGGAAGGGAGGGTGGGAAGGAGGGAGGGAGGACGCACTTTACTGGAGGCTGAGAAGGGAAAGTGTAAACATAATGGCACCATCCGCTTGCTGGCTGACAGAGCTAGAAGAGGAAATCTGATAGAAATACAGTGGGTTTCCATCATGGGTCAGCTTTGTTTCCACAAAGGCTGGACCAGGGAACAAAGAGGCCGGGAGCTGGGTGGCAGCAAGAAGTAGCATGGCACAAGGCTCTAGTCCCAGGTGTGTGTGCAGTGTTTGAAAACCGCCTCTGGCTTTCAAGGGCTTGGTATTTCATCAGCTTGTAGGTAGCCATCTTCAGAACCTTCCAAGAACAGATTTTCCTTATGCCTTCTAGAAATAATTGCTACAGTTTTAACTTCTAACTTGACCTAAAAGTATAAACTTATAATCTGTAAAAGTGGCCTTAAATGTACAGAAACCACATTTAGAGTCAAATAAGGAATTCTGGTTTTCTTCCCCTGCTCTTTGCAGGTGAGCCGGTGATGGGAATTCTCTGAAGACACTGAATAATTTACAGTCTCCCCATGAAGTTGGAAATTCAGCAATTTAGAAAAAGAGCTCTGACACACTATTAAGGAGTAAATTATATTAGCTGTTACTGAATCTGGTCTTCTAACTTTACTCTGGGTAAGTTGTAAGGCGGGCTTAGTTCCAGCATCGCAGGCATTAGCTCGCACTGAATGGCACTTACTTGCCAATCATCTTGGATAACATATCTCATTAAGTTTCCTTTGTGTGGTAGGTACCATTTTAAGCTCTGATGAGGCAGAGGGGGATGCTGAAGCGCAAAGAAGCTCCAGTCAACTGTTTAACCACCACTCTCTGAAGCTCCCCTCATCTGACCTGTGGGACAAAACAGTCTTTTCCAAGGCGGTGCACTTGTTTCTAAAGCGCCCAAAGTATCTCCTACAGGAGACTATAAAATACTTTATCTTTCTCTCAAAAGCCAAGAAGGCACATGCAATGTAGAGGAAACCAGGTTTTTTTGGGGGTGGGGTGGTGTTGTATTATGTATCATTTTATATCCAGCTGGATATGCTAATTCTATGCAGATCTTAGAAACCCTGAAATTACATACTGCTTAGTCTATTTTAATCCCTGAAAGCACCGCTGTGATCCCTGAATAATGTATTTTTAAAATAACTGCTTTACCTTCACCAAATATATTTGGTTAAATTTAAGAACTTAAAGTGACAGCACACTGCTCTTTGTTCAGGAGGATGATTCTTCTTAAAGCAAGCCCTTTGCGGTTAATTGTCCAGCAACTGGCACGAACTGCAGTGTGCTGCCCACATTTTCTAGCCCACAGCATTTGTGGGACAAGGGCAAGAAGGTGCCAGATGGCTAGGACTTGGATTGCAATCTGTTCTTAGGAAGGGAAGGGTGCTGTCCCTTTAATAGGTTCAAACACAAGCCCTGGGCTCATTTTACATGATTCTAGGAGATGATATCAGAGGCTAGAAAAGGGAATGAGCACATTTCCGGGACGCTATGTAGCTGCACGCTTCTGGGCAGACCTTGGCGATGGGAAAAGAGGAAGCACAGCATCACTGTTTAGGCTCAGACCAGCATAAAGGGAAGTAGTGCTTTCATTCTTGAAGAGCACAGCTGATTGTTTGGAAGACCACAAGTATATATATGATATATATATTTCTCACTTCCTATTTAACTGCTCTGAACTAAAATCCAAACAAAAATTGGTAAGAGTGTAAAGTTCAAGATTGAAATAGCATTGTAATATAAAAGATATAAAAATAGTTGGGATAATAAAAGAGCAAAAGTAAAATGAATTTCAAGTTAAAACCACCTTAAAGTTCTGAGTGAATAACCACTTTAGAGGAAAAACACAGAAAGTATCTTAATTTGTGCAAAACCATTCTCAGTTGGTCTTGTTCTGTCAATTCCAGTAAACACAAAGTTCACTCTCTTTAAAAAGAGAGTGACTGACAGCACATGGAAAAGATGCTTTTTTTTAAAGTTTTCTAGCATAAGCTTTATACTGCCTCCTAACAATGAGTTCTGGGCCAACTCTGTTAGGGAAAATTAATCACTAGATCAATAAAACAAAAGACACATGACTCCTGATGTGGGATGTCTTTCTGTTATATTGCTTTATTGGTTGCAATATTGTTTATTGGTTGATAAATAAAGCTATTTTGACCAATGGTTTAGCAGAGTAAAGCCAAGTAGGAAATCTGAACAAAGATATATAGATAAAGAGGGCAGAGTCAGAGAGATGCCAAGTAACTCCCGAAGGAGAAAGATACCAGAAGGTAAGACACAGCCTTGTGGTAATACATAGATTAATAAAAAGTATTAACTTAAGATGTAAGAGCTAGCTAAGAATACGCCTGAGCCAATGATCAAACAGTGTTGCGATTATTATAGCTTCTGTGTGATTATTTGTGTGTGGGCAGCTGGAAAACAAATGTACAGTCTCTGTTTACAGATTACCTTGCATGGTCAGCTCAGGAAATTCAGGTTCACAATAAACCCATTACTGGTGTGCGTTTGTGTATGGATGTGTGCACTGTGTGTGTGCACACACATGTGTATGTGAATTCATGAGAGTATGGGAATATGTGTGCCACATAGCACATGTGGAAGTCACAATATGACCTTGGGTGTCATCGTGTTTCCATTCTACTTGAGACACGGTTTCTCTTGTATAGGTTTCTCCTCATAGCAATAGACCAGTGATTTAGAAAACTATGTAATGTGTTTGTATTTTAAGTTGTTATTTTAAAAGATCTAAAATAAAGGGTCATTAAATAAAAAGTTATAATAGGCTAAGGTTAATTTGTTGAAAATACTTGAATGCATTTATCACAGTCTTAGTGCACGATGCCTACAGTCTACAATAGGAAGAGTTAGCACACCTTTCAGTTACTTACTCTACAACTCACACAGAGAAACTTCCAGTTCCATGATCACTATTCACGGTGAGAACCCATACAGGTATATAGTTTTAAAACTTTGGTACAATAGTTTTGATGTGTCTTTTCGATGTTGAGACATGTTGAAGTACACTATGTTATAACTTCCAACACTATTCAGCACAGTAGCACACTGGGCAGGTTTGCAGCTGCAAGCAATGGCTACTCACATTGCTCAGGTATGTGCTGGCTTGTATCAGCTAAGCCTGTTGAGGATCCTTGGTGTTTCACAGCATTTACCTATGCAGCTGGCAGAACACACTCCTGTTGCTAAGTGACACATGGTGTATGTCTGTACATTGTCACAAATACCCAGATATGGAGGAAAGATAAAATCACATTTATAATGCCATCAAAATCAATTCCAAATACTTAAGAAAATTTTAATAGAAGCATGAAATTTACATTTTGAAAATTGTAAAGGACATTGAAAGAAATTAAAGATCTTAATAAATGTTAAACCATTCCACATTCATGGATCAAATGTGAAACTGCAAAGATGAGCTCCTTTAATTGAGCTTTGGAATCAATGCTATTCATATCAAAATCACAGGGGGTTTCTTGTGACAGACTCTAAATGCATATGGAATTGCCAGGGACCAAGAGTCACCAAAACAACTGTGGAAACGAAAAGCAAAGTTGAAATTTCTAATTTCAAAACTAAGAGTGTCCTTTGACATAAGGGCAAGGATACAGATCAATGGAATAAAATTCAGAGTCTGGAAATAAGCCCACATGTCAACAGTCACATGGTTATTACAAGTGTGTACTGTATCACAAGGAAGAAGTTTTTCAGCATTTAATACTGGAACAGTTTTACTCCCATATGGAATAAAAAAAAATAAAAACTGGAGCCCTGTATCACATCACATACAAAAACTCAGTCGAAATGAATCAAAGCCCCATAAAAGCCTAACTATAAACTATTAGAAGAAAATGTAGAAGTAAAGCGTCATGGCTTCCAGTTTCACAATGGAGCCTTAGCTGTAGCACCCCAGTATAACCCAAACCAACAAAAGAACTGATTAAGGCATTTTGTCAAAGCAGCCAGAGAGGTGGCTCGGCAGCTGAGAACACCGCTCTTCCAGAGGACTCAGATTCAGTTCTCAGCACCCACACGGCAGCTCACAACTGTCTGTAACTCCAGTCCCAGGGATGACACCCTCTTCTGGCCTCCACAGCCAGCACCAGGTATGCAAGTGGTACACAGACACACATGCAGGCAAAATACGCATACACAAAAATAATAAAAAATATTTTGAAAAAAATTTCCTTAAAATTGTAAACTGTGATATAAAGGGGAAAGCGCAGCATACACAGCAGAAGAAAATGTCTGTGAACCACGTATTTGCTAAAGGAATTACATCTGTATAAATTTCCAAAGTCTTTTGCTTTGGAGTGTGGGAAAGCTTGTATGTATGTGTATCTATGCACCACTTGTGTGCCTGGGGTCCATGGTCCTTCACAAAAGCAGCAAGTCCTCTTAAGTACTGAGGTATCTGCTCAATTTACATCTGTATCTTAAAAAATTTAATAATACAAAGACAACCTATTTGATAAGGCAAGGTTCTGTGTAGACATTTCTCCCAAGCTCATGTACAAAAAAAATTTTTAAAAAGTAAGCAAATGTAGGGCACTAGTCATCAGAAAATGGAAATGAAAGCCACAGTAAGGTAAGGCTTCACACCTCAGAGCAGCACCATAGTGCCAGGTAACAACTGTTGGCCAGGAAGTGGGGAAATCAGCAGTCTCCTACAATGCTCGCACAAACATAAATGGTGTAGCCAATTGGAAACAAGTATGATCGTTTCTCAAGTGGTTATTCACAGAGCTACCCCAAATCCTGCAACTCACTCCAGAGATCAACATAAACTGTCACGCAACTGTTCATGGGAGTGCTATTCAAAGAGACCAAAGTAGAAAGAATCTGAACCCTCCCAAAGTGATGAATGGATAAATAATAGTGCCACATCTACACAAGAGAATAGTATAGAGCAATAAAACGATAAGAGGAAATGAAGTACTATTGCAGTATGGGCAACTTAAAGATGTTGTCCTAAGGGGAAAAGACGAGCACCATGAACTGTATGATTTCATCACATGAAACACTCAGAACAGATTTAGTCCGACAGAAAGAATGCACACTAGATGGGCAGAGTTTACTTTTCTTGAGCTATATGTTCAGGTAATAGGTATCTATAACTATATTATATTATATGACTATAGTCATACTAATAAAGGAAATGTTTTCTGTTAAAATATTTGATCATTAATTCACATTCTTTCAAAATGATTAATCTACCTAAGATATTTTGGTGAGTCTAAAAGGAATGCTGTAGATTCTGCTAATATACTATCTCTATAAGAAGCCCCACCTTCCCCTTCGTTTAGCTCTGACCACCCTCAGATACAGAACTCAGGGAAGAAAAGCCACTCTTTCATCACACTGAAAAAATACTTTCTAAAAATAATATAGCTCATGTTTAATAATCACCAGAATTAGAAAGTATTCACATTGTTCTGAATAATTATATAAGATTAATAATTAAAATGTGAAGTAAAAGAAAATTTCTAACACTGGTCATGGCAAACGTGACATCAATTT